TTTTTTTATTTATATATATTTTATATATATATATATATATATATATATATATATATATATATATATATATGTCTCTATGTGAATAAGTCAATAAGGCATCGCGTTAGATAAACTTTATTCGTCTTTTGAAAAGAAATATCTTAATTAATCGTTTAATTATCTTTCAACACAAAAGTATTTTAAATTAACCAAAAGGTTTAATTTAACATAAGCTCAGGTCAGTTTCTCTTTGTCATCGTTTGTGTTATTTCTTTTTGTTGTTTGAACTTTAAGTTTTACGAAAATTAAAAATCATCTTTCATTGATCGTTCACATCATCATCACATTCGTTTTGTTATTCGTTTTACAAATAATAACGATGTTATGATTATTGGAAAAATATGAAACCAACCAACCAATGAACAAAAAGAAAAGAAATATTATAATATATAACTGTGTTTTTTTTTTTTTTTTTAAATAGTCATCGTCGTAATTATTTTGATCATAATCGTATAATCGATTACGAGAAATACTTTGGTGTTCGATATAATTGAAAATAAGATGAGACTGAGTATCATCAAATTCATCAAATTTTGATATTTCGTTCGGAATGTAAAAAAAAATCTAAATGATCTACAACGTTCGATCATAGATCATTGATTTTTTCTTTTCTTTTCTTTTCTTCTTCTTTTTCTTCTTCTTCTCCTAGTTATGTGTGCGCGTAATCGGTGACGATAAACTAATAAAAAAAAAAATTGTTAAAAAAGAAAAAATTTCTTGTACAATTTACTCAGAAACAATTTTAAAATTTGTAACGAATGACGGAATATAATATGTTTTTTTTTTCTTCTTTTTTTTTTTTTTCTTTGTTTGTTTGTTTTGTTTTGAAGAAAAAGAAATATTCGTTATAATCAGTTAACCGTCAAAATTACACGCATAAAAATGTGTCCATTAGTAATATGTGTTTATAAATGATCGATAACGACCTTCCCCCCTTCCAAATCCACCCCACCCACCCACCCGTCCTATATTCTAATTCGAATTAAAATTAGATTTTAAGTAGGGCGTTGTAAATGAAGATTTTCTTGCCAGTGTCAGTAGTTCCAACGAGTTTGTATCTTTTGCTGTTTAATTTGTCAATGAGATTGTCCGTTTCCGTCGTACTGTAATGCGTATTCCAACGTATGGAAAGTATTAATATTCTTATAGTTTCCCATGGTATTGTATCCAGAACCTGTTTCGTGATAAAAACAAATGATAAATAAAAATCACAAAAGTAGAAGTTAAAGTAAAAGACAAAATGTCAATGAAATAAAAAATATTGTTTATTATTGTTAAATTTTAAGTTTACCTGGCCATCTTGAATATCAGGACTGTCGAGACTCAAGTAATCTAAAGTTGTAACATTGTAGGCTAAGAGTATACTATAAAGGGGGAAACATTTTAACCTGGTCGTTGGTAAACTTTCGTCAGACGATACCAAACTGTTAGGGCCTTCTCCTAATTTAGTAACTTGAACCTCGGATTCTTGATGATACGTTATCTAAAATATAATTCAAAATATTATAAAATATATTTAAAAAAAAAAAACAAAAAAAAATTGGTTCAAAATTAAAACGTAAAAAAATAATCTTACTTCTTTGATAACTTTGTCGTTACTCAGACAAGAATGAATAACTCGAGTTTTCGAATTGCGACTACTTTTTTGTGCTTCGAAGAAACTTCTAGGATCGGTTAAAATCAAAACGCCATTCCAATTCAATTTCGAATCGAGCCAAGCTGTACTGGACATTGCTCCTATCTAAAGAAAAAAAAAAAAAAAAAGCAGTAGCAGCAGCTTGGAAAAGGATTTAGGAGAAATGCGTTTCTATCACGGAGTTAGGTGGAAAAAAAAAAAAAAAAAAAAAAACAGAATAAAAGAATAAACATAATTCCAATATAAGTGGGGTAGCGTTAAATCTCATTTTGATATAAAACAAAGTGCAATAATTATTTCACTTTGATTAAGAAGATGAAGAAAAATAAGAAGAAGGATAGTTTGTAATATTAATTATTATTTGAACGCAATTATAATTCTCACCCTACTAATATATTCTACGTAGACACCTTCACGTTTGTTTTGCATCGAATTAGATACGTATTTCTCTTCGGATGTTTGAGTAGCATTTAGGAGTTCTTGATGAGTAGTCGGTTTGAAATGGACCTCACGTATATAAGCGATTAGTTGTGGGTTATCCATGGAAACGCTATAAAGCACGTAATCCCTGGTCATGTTAGCATCGAAAGCTTGTCTCCTGTAACATCGAACGGTTCAATTTCAAAAATCCAATACAATTCAATCTCACGTTTTGTTGAAACGAAATTTAACGCGTTCCATGCCACGTGGTATATATATATATATATATATATATATATAGTACCATTATTATAGTACACGGTTAAACTTGACCATCAGGCTACGTATACCATAAATAGTATACGCAGATATATATTCATTTAATGAATAATGAAAATCAAATAGTCTGTACGACAAGTTGTACGCAAAAAAACGACTTGGCAGGAAACGTAGTTAAAAAAAAAGCAACCGTTTTAATCGAACAGATTACTTTGTGTTCGAAATAAGGATGATGATAATAAATAATTGTCAAATCACAAGATTAACGCGTTAAACTCTTTGAAGCATGGTGGGATTAAAAGTGTCCCCCACCTTTTTGATGCACCTTAATGCACACGGTGGAACATTTTTAATCTCACTTCGAAATATTGCAATAGCTGCATTCTCATAAGTTTATATTTCGTCTTATTTACGTCAAAACAATTGGTTATCATTCTTTCTTTTTTATGGTTTTACATTACGTAATCTATATCAATTTTGTTTCATTTCAAATTCACATCAAATTTCTATGCAACATGGAATTACTTTATTATCTGAAATCTCCTGTGCTACAAAGAGCTAAAACGCACCACATTTTTGCAATGAATTTGAATTTTTTTTACCTGAGTTCGGCAGCTTCGTTCCAGACGAGAAGTAACGCCATGGCGGTTGAAAATGCAGCAAGAAATGCCAAACAGGGTGCAACTTTTCTCCACCATGTATTTTTGTAATATAACATAGCGTTAGGTGTAGTATTAGATGCTGTTGGTGTCGTTTGTTGATTACCAACGACACATATGCAATGACCAACGCCATTAACTCCACCGTTAATTGCATTTCCCTCAGTTGTACCCCCAGGTCCACCACCTTCCATCCCCCCAGATGCAACGGTAGCCGCGATTGGTTTAATCATTCTGTTGAAATAAAAATTGTACGATTTCTTTTTCAAAATCTTTTTTCATTTAATTTTTTTTTCTTGTTTTTTTTTCTTATGGGGGTTGCACATTCGTACTCGAATTATTTATACCAAGATACATACAGAAAATACATTTGATTAGAATGAATCTTATTGTTAGATTATTTCAAAGAAAAAAAACAAACAAAAAGAAAAAACAAAAAAAAGCCTAAAAAAGGCAAGAAACTTTCGGAACTATCTATTTATGTGTAAGTGTGTGTTAATCTGTACGTGTATTTGTAAATGAGTATGTATTTCTACGATCCTATCTTTAACAACGAAACGTGACTCATGACCAACCAACGCACAGTAAAAGATCAGCTTTACAGACTTTCTAAGCAAATTTTTTGTTCTTATCGCATCCATGCCAGAATACGACACCCAGTATATAAGGATGTGAACAAAGGGGAAATCCAAAGACCACTATGGGATTTAAAATATCTTTCTGTTACTTTAGCTTATGTATTTGACGATTGCAATCACGCATTTATTTGAGGTTTTCTTTACGTTTATTTTAAGGGAAACTCTCTGTACGAGTGATGACAATTTTTTTTTTGTTTTTTTTTTTTTTATTACAGCATGAAAAAATTCGTGTTTTCGTTTGAACAGAGAAATAAAATAAGAGAGAGAGTATTACTACTACAACTCTTTTACTCATCCAACTCGAATGACATTTTTGTAATTTCGATTTTACATTTGCCGAGAAAAATCCGTCGAACTGATGAAACTGATGAAACGAAAAAAAAAATAAATAAAATACAGACAGAGAGAGGTAAATATAAGGATAGAAAATATATATGAAATAAAATTAAATTAAATTAAAATTACGAAAGAAAAAAAAAGATAATGGAAAAAAGAAAAGAAAGGTAAAAAAAAAGAAAAAAATTAAATCGCTCATCTTTTTCACCGTTAAAAGCTTCCTTTGCCCTTTTGTATTTCGAATTTATGGTGACGATGTTTCAGGAAGAAGGAAGAATACGACACAAAGGAGGGGGGGAAAAAAGGAAAAAAGGAAGAAAATGATCGTTCGGTTGTAAAACAAAAAGGAAAGAAAAGAAAAAGAAACCCAATCTCTTTCATTCGATCATTCAAATCCTATAACAGTGTGAATTTTGAATTACATTTAACTTTCTTTTGATCGAACGATAAAGATCGATAGATTGATTTAAAAACGATACGAATATCGGATTCAATTGTTTTAAATAAATTATTCGAATGCGAATATACGATAATATTTGATCTTTCCGAATTTTCACGTATCCTTTCTGTGTCACGATTATCGTAAACTATGATGTTTGTCTGTATACTCTCGCTTTGATATACAATAATAAACATGGAGACACATATACATTCACATACATATACGCGGAATAAATGAGTATATTATTTATCGTGAAAAAATCCGAAAAAATCATGTTGTTGAATGATAGAACTTTTGATAATTCGTGAGAATGAATATATTAAACAAATAATAAAAATTATATTTTAAATTTAATAAGAATTTTGTCAAAAAAAAAAAAAACTTAATAGTGCATAATAGTGCATAATGGCACCAATAATTTCTTATAAAATTCGTGCCGGTTTTAAAGAAGAAATAAGAAAGAAATAAAAATACCACTATTTTACATATGACGTGACAAAAAAATAAACATTTTATCGAATAAATCAAATCAGCAGTTACATTTCCGATCAATCTAATACAAAATTGAATAAAATGACGTAACACAGGTATAAATAAATGTCTCGACGTTTCGTGAATCAATCGACAAAAAGAAAAAACAAAAAAACAAAAGCAAGAAAAAGGAAAGAAAAAAACAAAGAAAATAATAAACAAACGAATTCATCGCAAATCGAATCCTACGATTGTTATCTATCGTTCTATCTATATATATATATGAAACACTATTTTACTTTATAGAAATAAACGCAAACATTACGTAAAATAAAGGACAAATATTATTGAAATATAATTTATATTTGTTTAAGTTGGAAAAATAATAATAAAAATATATACTTACGTAGATTTGCGCTTTGGTCTAGTTTCTATTTGGGGGAAACGAAAGTCTGGTGGGGGGTTAGACATATAAATCGACCAAATGTTGATGGATATGCTGCTTTAATAGCAGCAACAGCAATAACAACAGCAACAGCAATAGTAGCGATATTAACACACACAATTTACACGCATCCATGCGTGCACACTCGCGCACACATACACACGATTTAAGGTTGGAAAATCTTGTTAAACTTTACATCTCGTATGTGACACTCTGCCAGTGTCTCGTACACATTTGGCTTTCGTTCGCGCGACTGTACGAGGAGAACGTGCTCATCTCTCTCTCTCTCTCTCTCTCTCTCTCTCTTTTTCTTTCTCTCTCTCCTTCTCCTTTTCTCCCACTCCCTTTCTCTTGATTTCCTTTCGTCCAGCCGACCCACACACGCGGTGCACTTTACTCGTCGAACCTAACAGCGTCCTACTCCTTCTCTTTCTCTTCCTAACGTTTCAACTATGTGTGTATTGTGTGTATGAACAATGTGTTCAGAAATTTTTCTATGTTCCCCACCACTTCCAACTAAAGTTCTTCTCTTTCTTTATATCTTTTCCTTACAATTAGGTACTATAAAAACATGATAAAGGAAAAGGAAAGAGATAGAAAAATTGAAGGAATAGTAGAGTAGTAGTAGTAGTAGTAGTTGGTGGTGGTGGTGGTGGTGGTGGTGGTACTGCTCCGAAAGCGACTACTTCGCCGACTGTGAGTCGTCCTCGTCTGCTAGAAGGGAGTGAAATGAAAGAGAGAAAGGGTATATATGGTTATCCCCGCGCCGCACTGCAGTTCTCGATGCGTCTTTCTCTTTCCTTCTTTTGAAACCCCAACTCTCTGATTATCTTTCTTTCTCTTTCCCACGTATATTCCTCGTATATTCGTTACAAAAGAAAGAAAGAAAGGAAAGGAAAAGAAAGGTAGAAGGAAACTTCAACATCGGGCATTTGTCTTCTACGAGAAAGAGACCTTCTTCTTTCCTTCTTCTTCTCTTTCTTTTTCTTGACTCATCGTATGAACAAAACCAAGACGGTACGTTGACGTAAAGGTTCAATTACACGCGCACAAGTTTTATGTAAAAGAGAGGACAACGACGACAACGATGAAACACCGCTGGCACTTGGAAACGGCCCCAACACCACTCGGTCAGCGACGGGGACTGCTATGATGACGACAACGACCAACAGTATAATGCCTTCTTCTTCTTCTTCTTTCTATCTCCCTCTCTATGGGTTCTCTACGTATCGGGTGTCCTTATTTAAACGGGCCACATACTCATAGCCCCCACCCCACCCCACCCTTCTTTTTACCTATATGCCACCTGGAAACGGCCTCGACACAACCGTCACAATAACCAACCAACCAACCCAACCAACCAACTAACCAACGACAACAGCAATAACGATGTTAACTACGATACAAAAACGACCGGTGATTATTAGGACAACAACGACTAGGAGTACAATGCCATCCTCTCTTCCTTCTCTCTTTCCTTTCTATGGGTTTCCTATATATATATATATCGGGTGTCCTTCTTTATACGGGCCACAGTAGACTGTCTAACTCTGTGTGTTGGCTGTTGTGTTGTTCATTCGTCTATCCCCTTCAACTTCAACGCGATCGGCTTTCTCGCTCGGTTTTACGAGGACTCCTCTACCTTTCTCTCATAGCTTACTCAGGTAGAGAAAGAGAGAGGAACAGTGGTTCTCAACTTACCTTACCTTTTCTTCTCTTTCTGTCTCTCTTTCTTTCTCTTTCTTGTAATCTTTAGACGAGGTTTATTCGATTTATTTCAAGCAGACTCGTGAACGAATGCACACGACGTCGTTATTGATTCACCCCTAACAGCCCTATAACAGAGTATAGTATAGACTGTTTTAAAAGACAAAAATCAACTGTAAATATATCCTAGATCTTTTCATCCTTTTACTATCTTTTTTGTGTTGTTTTTTTTTTTTGTTCAATTACGATGATAACCAACGTTTGCAAATCATTTTTTTTATTCCGTCCAATTTGAATATCGAAAAATATACATCGTATTATACCACGTGAATTAGGATAATAAAATGGATGATGATTGAAAGGTGAAAAAGGAGAGCCACTTTTCCATATAATGGCAAGAACACGAACGGTATGAAAAGGGAAACGGTTGTGTGTCGGGGGAGAGAAAATGTGCGAAGGTAGGAATGAACGAGGGGTTGTCGAGAAGAAGGAGGAGAAGGGATAGAGGAAGGGATAGTGAATTGCGGGGACTGAAAAGAGGGAAATGGGGAGTGGGGGAGGGAAATCAGAAGGAGGAAACGTGATTGGTATGCGACAAGGCGGAAATGGCATCAGCTGTGGCAACGATAGGAAATTTTGTTATACACACCCTTCTACTACCGTCTATCCTCAATTCTCTATCTATTTATTTATCTATCTATCTATCTATCTATCTATCTTTCTATCTGTCTATCTATATTTAGCTAACTCGTATAATTGCATTAGAATTTTCGTTAGTTCGGTAAAGCGGCGAGTACTACCAATCCTATTTTCCATTCGGATTTACACTCCGGAAACGATTCTTATTATCGATCGATAAATTAACGAATTAACGAGAGTGAACACTTTACAGGGAAAACTTTGTTAACTTCATTGATTTACTACTAGCATTTTTTATCGGAGTAATTTTATTTCATTTACCAATTCATTTTATTTTCACGTAAATACAATTTTTATTTCTACTTATTTCTTTTTTTGTTTTTTTTTTGTTTTGTTTTTGAATCCAACGTCATTGGATTAATTTTATTCAATCATATATATATATATATATAACTGTGCATTTGCAAATTTTTCTTTAGACACATTTTTTCAATTCATCTATAATAAATACGCGAATTAAATATAACCAATAAAATACTATACACGTTTGCGCGTACAATTTGAACAAATTTTCTAAAACTTTGATATTGAATAATTCAAATCACGAACCCCCTTTATCTCTCTCTCTCTCTCGCTTTTTTTAAAAAAAAAAGCTTTTAGAATATTTCTATTTGAATGAAAATGAGTTTAAAGAAACAGAGGTGGTAGTAGTAGTAGTAGTAGTAGTAGTAGATTAGTTTGAGTGTGAAAGACAAGGAACAAGCAGCCGGTTCTTCTCCGTCATCGCGATCATCGTTCCACTGCCATCTGCTCGATCATGTAAATATGTATAAAAGATAGAGAAAAAGAGAGAAAGAGAGAGAGAGAGAGAGAGAGAGAAAGAGAGAAAAGTTCTGTGTCTGGTTAGAAAGCGTCGGGACGCCGCCAACTACACATGGCACGCGCTAAAACTTGCACAGTTTCGCGCAGACGCGATTCTATCCTTCATCAAAAGTGAGTAAGCAAGAGAGAATAATAGTATAAGAGAGAGGGAAATAAAGAGAGAGAGAGAGAGATTTAACGCACACGATAGTAGGAGGATGACGTTCTAACAGCGAGTTACATTGAACCGTCCAACGGAGAGAGAACAGCGAACACTCGTACGCCGACCGCGAACGTGATAACATTCTACTATTCTCTTCTATTTCAATTTTTTATTTTTTATTTTCTTCTTCTTCTTCTTCTTCCTATTATTATTATATTGCACTCAAAAAGAGAGAAAGAGAGAGAGAGAGAAACAGGAACAAAAAAATCGATGAAATGGTGTATGTTTGTGCGTGTACGTTCCTTTGGTGATGATACTTTTCGTAAATTTGTTTTATACTAGTGTTATTCAGGGCTAGGGGGGGTGGGTGAGGGTGAAAATGTTATAAGGAAACTTGTTATTCATTTTGTGTATATGTGTGTTTTATCCAATTGAATTTTGATGGTAAGTAGTTGTTTACACATGTTTTTCTTGATTGATCGATCGATCGATCGATCGATTGATTATTTATTTATTCATTTATCTCTCTGAGAAATATTTCATTTGACTTTTTGTGGTGTACAATTTTCAAATGTGCCGCTCGCGCGCGCGGGAAAATTTCGATTTTTTTTTTTTTTCTTAACGTCGATCAGACTTGTTGTTATTGCATAATGCATATTTTTTTATTAATTATTTCAACCTTTTTTTTTTATTTTTTTATTTTTTTATTTTGTATTTCATTAATCTTCACTTACGAATATTGTGGTTGACATTTTTATACGAGTTTTAAATGTAAAATGAAAATTTGTTTATAATTGTATTATTAGCGATTGATTTTTTTTTTTTTTTTTTTTTTTTTTTTTTTTCTTGAAATGAACAAAAATATAAATATATATATTAAATTTTTGCAGCAGCAGTAGAAGCAACAGAAGTATGCTCCTCCTAATCGCGTTTTTTACTTTTTTTATACTCTCTTGTTAAAACTTGACGATTTTAAAAGTTGAAAAAAAGAAAGAAAAAAGGACAAAGGTGGCGGGCTTTTCTTTCCTTCTTTCTTTCATTCATTCTCTTTCTCTCTCTTTTTTTTTTTTTTTTGCAACAAAAGGAAAGTAGTTTCAAAAGTAGAAGGGAAAACTGGCACGGCAGCTTTTCAACAAACTTCGCATTGAAATTTCTGACATCCTCGTTTAGACGATAACTTGAAAGAGAGAAGTCGTTGAGAAAGAAAAAAAAAAGGAATAACTCGAATGAACCTTAGGAAGAAAGAGAAAGAAGAGAAAGAAGAAAAAAGATGGGGGGGTGCAGGAGGAGGAGCAGGGGTAGGGGTAGGGGCAGGTGGGGGGAGAGGAGGAGGAATTAATTTTGTCGAAAGGTCTCTTTCGTAAACAACAAACAAACAAACAAACAAAAACTATATACAATATATATATATGTAATCGAGAATAAGGTCGATTCTTTGAAATTATCCAAAGGACTTCAACGATTTTCTTTCTTCAGTGTGTCTTCCATTTTTTTTTCCTTTTTTTTCTTTTCTTAACACACATCAGGTTACTTGACTCTGTTTAATACACTTACGGGAGCATCACCTTTCTTAGAAATAATATGGGTAGTTTATTTTTCTTTTTTTTTTTCTTTTCTTTTTTTCTTAATTAAGTTCGATAAGAAGAAGGTATGCGCTTCTTCCTAACCCCCTTCCCCCTTTTTTTTCTTTCTTCTTCGTCTTATTCTCTTCGTTTAGTCTCTTATGGAAGTTGACTTTCACCTACGCGCTAATTAACTCTTCTCTGCACATGACCTATCTCACATAAATATATATATATACACGAATACACAAATATATATATGACAAGGATAAGCACACATAGAGACACGTTGTTTCAATAAAATCTCTTAGACGTGTTTCATTCGAAAATCAAAAATAAAAATAAAAATAAAAAAAATAAAAAAATGATCGACTTGCGAATGAGCCAGGAAAAAAAATATAATAAAAAAATAAAATATACAATAATTGATAGAAATTTGGATTAGTGTTTTATTATCGTTAGATAATAGAGAACATACATAATAACAATCGTATATGAATAAAAATTTGATAGACGTTTCAATCGAAATTAAAAAAAAAAAAACCAAAAAAAAAAAAAACGATCGTAGAACGAAAAACGTATATTTTGATTATACATAATTGATTGTATATATTTGATGAAACGAATTTTGTGATTGATTTTTTACATCGAAAAGAAATATAATCAAATAAATAATACCAGAATTATAAATAAAAATCGATAGACCTTTCAATCGAAATAAATAAAACGATATCGTGGTGTGTGTGTGAATGACCTATGAACAAATAAAAATTATATTTTGATATACGTAATTGATTAGATTTTTGATGAAACAAATTTTGATTGATTTTTACATAGACAAAGAAAATAATGCAATAAATAATTAAATAAATAAATGAATAAATAATATTAAAATATTTATTATATTATATTATATTATATAGGATGATATCTCATCATTTATTCGATGTTCACGAGAACGTCTCTCGTTTCGATGTGTTGACGCTCGTTAGGACAAGAGCGTTCCTAATTAACATCCCAATCGGTATCTTTGAGGACTATAGGAGCAAGAGGAAGAGAAGAGGGGTTGAAAGAGGGTGAAAGAGGAGTTAAATCCGCAGAAACTAGGGAAACCTATAGGAAACACGAGCACCGATCAATGACAAGCGGAAGATCATCATCATCATCATCATCATCATCATCATCATCATCATCATCGATACATAACTCGACCCAATGCACTTGGAAATTTCATTGGCCGAGATCCAATGAAGAATTCACTCATCAGGAGAATGTGGAAGTATGAAACTTCCGAGTGGATTTCCAGCTTATACGGCCCACCACCACTCGTGTCACGTTTCGAGAGTCATTAAGGAGAACAAAATGGGTGCCAACCAATCAAATAGAACCTTACCTACTCCTGGAGAAGAAGGTATAGTTAATTCGTATACGTATCGGTAATTATAATACTGAAACACCTGTATCAATTAATTCATTTCAATCAATAATCAATTAATCATTTATCACATTTATCAATTATAATAATTAATTATTTATTATTTCGCACATGTATGCAATGAATATTATTATTAACATATATAATACTACTATTATATATTTGCATACATATACAAAATAATATATGCAAATAGATTATACCAGCAAGTTATGTTGTTCATTTTTAGAATGAAAAACAAAAAAGAAAATAATTTTTCTCACACATTTCATCTAGAATAAACTTTATGGAATGATGAGGTATTATTGTCATCGTTATTTTATGCCTTCTTGACAGCTTTATAGCAATTTGTATACCTAATCACAATTTAAACAAAAAATACCTTCATTTCTAGAGGTAAAAAATTGAACCAGTTTTTTGTTTGAACGGACAGAACTTTCAAGTAGACTTGATATACATATATATATATATATATACTATATTTGAAAATGTATGCGAAATAATATTTTATTTTTATTTTTTAAATCTATTGTGTTAGAATAAGGAGATGATATATTTTATTATATGATTTTATTTCTTTTTCTTTTTCTTCTTCCATCGGTCGAACTAAAGTTATCGATATCGGAAAATTATTTCAACGCTACCTACTCGTTTTCATTTTTCTTTTATTCGATATTACATTCTATCGCGGTATTGGTCATCAATTTGAATATGGTTTAAGAATTTTCGAATAGACCTTCCTCATCCTTAAACATGAAAAGTAGTTGTAGTACTCATAGAACCGTTCGAATCCCAAGGATTTAACGTTAAAATTCATGAAAAATCATATATATATATATATATCAGCTAACGTTGAAGGAATTTTCCTGCATAGTGATCTAATACTTACTATCGATGAATATTTTTCCTACGATAAGTTATAAACCTAGTATATAATATATGTGTTACAGTGAACTTCGATCACTTTGAAATTTTACGTGCCATAGGAAAAGGAAGTTTCGGAAAGGTAGGTTGTTCAAATATTTTTTAATAAAAAAAAAATAAAAAAAAAGAATTAACTGATTTTCTTTTTAAATTATTTTATAAAATTATTATGCAAAGATATGGAAGATTATTAATTATAGAAAATTAATAAATTACACGTAATATAATTTGTCGCGTATACATTTGCAATGCTTACGGCATAATGCGATTAATGTTACGAATATCACCCCCACCTCCACTCCCCTTCCTCCTCCCCCTCCCTCAAAAAAAAGAACATTAATCGACTTAATCGATCTATAATGTTTAATGACGATAACTCGAATACAACAGCAACTTTACTTGTTTTCGTTTATGATAAATGTATCGAACTCTAGATAGGATCATCGTATTAACGCGACCGCGAATAATTAAAATACGAATACGTGCGTTAATAATGATCGTTCCAACGACGGAAATAACAACGTAAAGAGGTGCTGATTGGATGGTGGTGGATATTAGAGATTTTCGCGTTTATGAAATTTCTTTTTTTCGTTGAACGATCTTGAAGAACGTTAAACAATATTCCACGAATATAATCTGAATTTGTTTTTTTTTATTGATATATTTATCGATATCATCATACATTTGAATTGAATTATTATTAAATACATTTATAGTTAGTATTCATATTACAGATGAACGATAAAATTAATTAATTAATTAATTTTTTATCATTTAATAAACCATTAAAAAAAAAAAAAAAAATGGAGGAAAAATTTGAAATGAGAAAGAAGGAATTAAAAAAAAAAACATACTGTTAAACTGAAGATTTTAAATTAAACGTTTACTGTATAGCATTGGATTTTGTTATTGGCTAGGTGCCAAATATCGTGGGTGTGGGTACGTAACACAAAGGGATGAATGTTCTTCTGTTGTTCAGGTTTGCATAGTGCAAAAGAGAGATCGTACTGGTAATATGTATGCGATGAAATACGTTCACAAAGGGGAGTGTGCTGAAAGAGGGGCATTAAAAAATGTCGCAAGAGAGGTTGAAATTCTTTCCAAATTGGAACATCCTTGCTTAGTCAATCTATGGTTCAGTTTTCAAGGTAAACTAATTTATATTTTATATTTGTATTTTATCGAATACGTAATTTAAACAAAAAAAGAAAAAAATACTTTTGTTAGAACAATTTGAATAATATGTTTTTATTTTTTTTTATTCTTATTCTTACAGACGAAGAAGATTTATTTATGGTGTCAGATTTATTATTGGGTGGTGATCTGCGTTATCATATACAACAAAAGGTTGAATTCACCGAGGAAAGTATCGTTCTGTTCGTCGTAGAAATTGCACTCGCCCTTGATTATCTTCAAAATCACAAAATCGTTCACAGAGATATCAAACCTGATAATATTCTGTTAGACGAGGAGGGTAAGTAAGTTATTCAAATCTTTCAAATACATCTGATATTATAATTTACTTTAAATTAAACACGCTTTATATACTTATTAATATATAATTTTGTATTTAAACTTAAAAAGAAATAATTTATATACCACCTGTGCAGGAACAATAAAATAATTATAGTGAAATGAAAAAAAAAAAAAAATGTTAAAATTAAACAAAACGTTCTAATTTTAAAGTCTTTTTATTAGGAATACTTTTAACAATTGTGCACACATACGCAACACATTTGAAAAGTTATTTACAATATTAGCCATTATATTATTACATTATATTATCAGAGAAGAAAATAATTGAATTAAATGTTAATGGTAGAATTGTTGGTATATCGATTTTAAAAGAGAAATTGTTTTGTATCGAATGAATAAACAACAAACAACGCTTACGTTTTCGATGGGGCTGCGTTATGGCAACAAGCGTACTAATCGAGTATCATGAGAACTGTAATTTGATCGTCGAACTATGCACGAAATTGGAAAATTGCTTTACCGCTGACTGTAACAACTTCTCTCGCGTTGTGAATTTCCTACCAGAATTTCTATCTATCTATCTATCTATCTATCTATCTATCTATCTCAACATCTATCAATCGATCTCACTTACTCGCTCATTCCCTTCAATGTAACTGGTCTCAGTGTGTTTACGAGAGATTCCGTGTTACATTAAACCCATCGATTTACATATATGCTCGTGCATATATGCATTTGGTATACAAAGTTTATCAACAATTGTTTTAATTAAAAAATGAAAAACATTTGTTCGTAAAATATTGAAAGTATAACTTTTGTATAGTAATTATATATATTTTCTTTTTTTATTAATAAACTAATATTAATTATTATTATTTAATTTTTTTTTTTATTCATTATTTTCTTATTAAAAGTAAAATATTTCAAATAAAACCTTTTCAGTAATTATTTTGTATATCTGTTTTTGTTTTCTTTTGTATATCTAGAATTAAACATAAATTCCATAATACTATATTTTTATTAACGAACTAATATATAATTATTATTATTTAATTTTTTTTTATTTATTATTTTCTTATTAAAAGTCAAATATTTCAAATAAAACCTTTTCAGTAATTATATTTTTTTTTTTTTTTATTAACAGCATTGCAATTGGAGTATCGCTATAATTTTGTATATCTAGAATTAAACATAAATTTCATAATACTATAATTTTATTAACGAACTAATATATAATTATTATAATATTTAATTTGATTACTTTATTATTATTTTTTTTTCCTTATTTAAAGTAAAATACTTTTGATACAGCATACATAAAGATTCTTAGATTTGTCTACGATTCAACGTGTTATTGGCTTTATAAATAAGAAAGTAATAAAAAGACTATAATATTCTTGATTAAAAGAAAGATGGACGAATATTTCTAATAAAAAAGTAAACGAGTTTTTTTGAAGACTATAACGACAAAGACGAACGAGACTTTTATATAATCACAAGGAGAACAAAAAATTGTTCTTGCGAATATTCAAGCAAAATGTTTTTTTTTTTTCTTTTTTTTGTTTTTCTATTCTTTTTACGAAAGAGTATTTTTTACTGTTTTATACATGGTAACAGCGCCATATATACCATCACCATTTTCTTTCCTTAACTTCATTCCCTTTATACTTTCTTCCTACCTCCTTTACTTACCTCATTACAAGAATAATGAAGATTTTCTTTGTTACACATTACGTCATTTTCCTCTCTTTTAGTTTGTTATTTCATTAAGTTATAAATCACGAAAGTCTCTTTGAATATTTCAAAAGTCAAATGGGGGTAGCAGTAGCATAACAGCCCCCCACCATGTTGAATTTAAACTCGCTTGACAAATTTTTGTCTAATTTCCCTTCTGCCTATTGAAATTCTTTCTGTTTTCTTTCTTTCCTTCCTACTTTCTTTCTTTTTTATTCTTCTTCTTCTTCTTATTCGTTTTACATTTTTAAACGATTTTTTAACAAAACAAAGATAGAAGATTTATATTCTCTTTAGGTTATTAATTATTAAATAAATTTGAAAACAATTTGCACGTGTGACGTGTTTGTTAATTGGCATGAATATATTTCACGTAAAAAAATGATTAATTGTTAATCGAAATACTTAATTGAATACATCAAATATACATGCATAAATCCATTCATATTTTGTATTATCAATAAATAATGAATTAAACAATTATTTATAACCTTTATCGGTCATAAATCACGTAAGAAATGACTTACAAATCAAAATATTTCATTAATAATGAATAATTTCATTTATATTTGTAGTACTTCTTCAAAAATATCAATCATTTTTAATAAATAATAAATTTATTCTTAATAATATTGAACAATTTTTTTGTGTTTTGCTATACATAACCTAATGACCGATAAGGATTAATTTATATATATATATTAGGGATAGAGATATATAGAGAAGATATTGAAAGACAGAAATCAGTACACATGAAAGTTTGATGATGAATATCTTTTGAACGCTTAATTTAATCGTCAAAACATAAGGCACCATTTTTATAGAGCAATTAATTTCCTACTAAAATTTCTATTGCGCATTTTATAATAATCATTTATTGTCGAGTTATAAAATTCATCAACAACAAAAATGAAATTTGTCTTAAAATAATCAAACTGAAATTTTCAATATCATTCAAATGGTGAGGTTTACGAAAAAAATATAAGATACCTTTTTTGTAGAGCATTAAATTTCCTACAAAATTTGTCTAGAACATTTTTCTCTACAATCAATTAATGATGAGGTATGAATTTTATTCTATTGGACTGAAAAAAAAAAAAATAAATAAAAAACTGCGATGCGGAGGATCTTCCTATTGAAATTAAGAGCTCATATTTGGTAAAACAATTTTTTTAAGGTGTCTAGCAACCCATTTTTCCGTGGCACTTGTAAAAAAAAAAAATAATTGATTTTTTTGACCCACCCTAATATATATATATATATATAACTAATTTGCACGTTAGTCGAATTATAAATTCAAGGAATTCGTCAGCTGTACAACGAAGACTTTGACAACACCTGCAACACTTGTTTTTAGAAAAATTTCACTGACAGCTGTGTTGACATTTAATTCGATTTCATTTCGTAGTGTTTTTTTTTGTTTTTTCAAATTTATTATTCATAGGATTTATAATGAAATCCTAGCAATGTATGTTGTGTGATATTTTCTGCAATATTCAATGATAAAATATTTGTTATCATTAATTTTTAGTTTAAAAAAAAATTCCACATAAAAATATTTAATGAGAGAGAGAGAGAGAGAGAGAGAAAAAAAAAGAGAGCAAAAGAGAGAGGGATAGATAGATAGAATGAAACATCTGTGAAATTCTTTACAGCAAAGAAGAAAATAATAACACGCTTGGACATTTGCGGGTCCTTCGGAGTGCAGCTGACAGATTCGATGTTTGTTCACTTCGTTGAGTTCGATGTTAGTATACTATAAGTACACACATAACTAAACTTTTTCCTACTCACAATTTACTCTTTCAATAGATATACAACAAACCATACATATACGTCTCGTAGGTGTATTTATATAATTAATATTTTACAGGATAAAATAAATAAATCGATCATTTATTTTTCCATTAGAATTTCATCGTAAAATAATTTTTACGATTTTATTCGATAATAATATTGTATCTTTTTTTTTGTTTGGTTTGGTTTGGTTTGGTTTTATTTTATCATCCCTTTTTATTTTACAGATTTCCATTTATTTCTTTACGTTTATTCGATATTATCGAAAAACCAAAAAATGAACGTGTCTTTTTTTGTATCGTTTTTTTTTTTATTTATTTTTTTTTATTAATAATCTGAATGGAATTAATAATTCAACGTGACTAAATGATGATTTATTCGATAATACAAAAATAATCGTTGTGATATAATATGAATTATAAAATTAATATCTTCATTTAATCATTATTATTTATACAAATATATATATGTTACAAAGAACATTTTCAATTAATTATTTTTCACGTTCAACCAAATAAAATATATATATATATATATACAAACTTTATATCACATATAGGGGAAAAAGAAGTTGGACAGGTAAAAAAAAAAAATCCTAACATATTGTTTTGATTTTGTTGAACGATATTAGGACTTTTTCAACAATTATAAAATACAAAGATTTACATAACAGATTTCAAACAATATTTTTGTTTTTCACCTGTCTAACTTTCCTATGATATCAAGTTTGTATATATGAAATTTTCAACGTTATAACGACGATATAAAACATCTCATCTCATAAATAATAAAATATAAATAAAACTTAGATGGGGATAATAAGTTGAGCGTGTAGTGATCGAAAATGCAAAATAGTTTCTTTGCGTGAGGGTTAACCAGAGATGGTAGGTAACATAGCTCGAAGGTGTTTGTTCTAGTTCATGTGTAATATCCTAGAGACAATATAGTAGTCCATGAAACTTCCATTAGATAGTAAAGTAAGTAGTTGAAATAATAGACTTTGACTGGAAATTAACGTGAAAGTTGAAATGTTGTCTTGTTAAGTGTTCAACCATCTTCTTCTTCTTCTTCTTCTTCTTCTTCTTCGTTTTCATCTTCTTCTCATAATTATATAATGTTATATTAATATGTAAAGAGAAAATTTGAAATAGTTTATTGATGAATAGAAAATAGTTGCGAGTGTTAATTATTTTCGGTATAAAATGAAAAGGTTCAAAGGTAACGCATGTTAAAAATACTTTGTCAAGGTTTAAAATACATCATTCATTAGATTCTCTTGTCGTTCTCTATTTAGTCATTCGTATTGATATATTTTTATAATATTTATTTTAAAAACTACCATACATTCAAACAAACAAACAAACAAACAAAAAAGAATAGAAAAGAATGTTACGTGCACGCGATCAATCATTTTATTTGTACATTTTCAAAATATATATATATATATATATATATATACATATATATATATATTCCTTTAAATAAAAATCTATATCAAATTTAATATAACACAAATTTTTATTAATAACTTATAATATAATACTATATTTGATTATATTTAATTAATAACTACTTAAATTCATAATGACAATTTATCTATTAACACTAGATTTACGGATGTTTTTTTTTTCATTATTTTTTATTTAATAATTTAATAACATTGTTTGAATGAAGGGTTGAGTAAAAGAAATGGAACTAATATTTACTACGTATATTTCATGACGTATAACTAAAAACCACAATATAAGTTTTTTTCAAAAATGAGTCAAATTGGCTGCTCAATTCGTAAATCTAGTGTTAAGAAATTTGATTGAATTATTTTTAAACAATTATTTGTGTTATTTTATTAGAAAATAAATGGCAAATTTTGTATAAATTTACTGAATTGGAAATGAGTCAGCAATTGTTTCTCAAATTAGAATTAGAATCAATATGAAACAATATGTAACAGTTATTTTTGGACGTGTTTCAACCCCTAATTCGAAGAGAGAGAGAAAGAGAGAGAGAGAGAGAGAGACTATGAACTACATTTACATATCTCATACACGAATACACGAATACACGAATACACGAGCAACTTAGCCCCAAACTTCCTACAGTAATTTACCCTCTTGGCTGTTTGAATTTTGAGATTGCGTCTGCATAATTTACAATTAGACTTGTGCACCATGTCGGTCGTCATTTAAGGTCTTTTTCAACGTTATTGTTTCACTTTTGCATTTCTTCATTTTCCCTCTCTCTCTCTCTCTCTCTCTCTCTTTTTTTTTTCTTTTTATATCTTTATCTTCATTTTTATCTATCTTTCAACGCAATCGTTTCTTAACCTTTTATGTTCTTTTTTTTTTTTTTTTATTACGTCCAAAAATTGTAGGGAAATTTTTATTCTTTGAAATAAAATAAAATATATATGAACGTAAAATTTGTAATAAAAGTAGAAAAAAAAAAAAATTAAGAGAGCATTTAAATAAAAATTCTCTTTTAATTAAAGTTCTCGCAAATGCGAGTAGAAAAGAAAAAAATTAATTTCATCTGTTAATTTAAATGTGAAATTATTTATAAAAAGAAAATGGTGGAAGAGGAGGGAGGATGGGGTGTGGGATTTAAATATATTCGAATAAAAATATTTACCATGCGGAAAATCTTTCTTTTCCTTCAGTAATAAAATACAAACACGTTGAATTATATATATATATTATACTTTGAAAAATGAAACGCTTGAAGTTATTTGAAAAATGAAAAGTAGTTGAAGAGAGACGAAAGGATCTTAAAATCTTCGACAAAAAGGATTTTTCAAACGAGTCTTACCCAAACGGGATAAGTTAAATCTCGATATATATTATCAAGGTTCTGTAAAAGTACAATTACATTGAGAGAGGAGAAGTATAACGTACGATTTACCATCTCTCCATCCACTTTACTTCAAAAGAGGATAAAACGTTTAGAAATCGTTTCGTAAGGATTTGATTTTCTGATAAAAAGATTTACGTTCTCCTCCTCCTCCTCCTTCTCCTTCTCCTTCTCCTTCTTCTCCTTCTCCTTCTTCTCCCTTTCATCGAATTTCTTCTTCGTATAGTCCTACGTATCTCCGATTTATTTATAACATTAAAAATTCCCTTCTAATTAACAGCAACAGCTGATGGATTTTACGTCTTTTAACTATAAACAAGAAAAACGGGGTCAAAGGTATATTATAATCTTTTTCGAGTTGTAGGTAATTAAAAAAGAAAGTTGAAAACCATTTTTTAATGTTCTCGAGTATTTTCAAAAGTATAACGAGGGTGGAATGAGGTGGAAAGAAAAAAAAAAAACGTGAAGTATGTAGTAGTGGGTGGGTGGGTGGAAGCGAAAAAAGAGAGGAAAAGAAATTTTGAAAAAAAAAAAAAAAAAAAAAAAAAAAAGAGAACAAAGGAAGAGAGAAAATATTGAAAAGTTGTGTATATAATATGATTATTATAAATAATATCATTCTCCTTTTTTTTTTTTAAATTTCCATGAAATTTAAATAATATTTTTTGTATGAAAAAATTGATCATAAAATGTAGAAAATATTTCGATTCGTCAAACTTTTTTAAAACTTGGTTACTTTTTCAAAAAGGTCATGCACGTGTAACGGATTTCAACATTGCCACTGAACTGGAGGATGGTCAATTGGCAACTTCGATGTCAGGCACGAAACCTTATATAGGTATGTGTGTGTGTGTGTATGAAAAATAACAGAAAAATATGAAAAGTAGTAGATCGCGTTTTCGCGTTTTATTTTCACGGAAAATCCTCAAAACAGTCATAACACATTTATGTGAAAGTATAAAACTTATTTACTTAGGTATTCCATGCAATATATGTATATATATATATATATATAGAGAGAGAGAGAGAGAAACATATTAAAGATAAAAAGATAAAAAAAAAATCTCGATAAAATTCCATATATATATATATATATATGTTTTTCTTTCAATATGAATTTACGTCAGCACCCGAGATTTACATGTGCTCGTGCGAAGAATATGGCGTCCTTGGTTACGGATTCACCGTTGATTGGTGGAGTTTGGGAATTCTCGCATGGGAAACTTTGGCTGGTGAACGTCCTTATTCCCTTCACTCAACAACTTCTTATAGAGAAGCATTAAAGATTTTACAGGTATTTATAAAATAATTTTACAATTGAACGTGTACCTATCATCATCAAACGTGTTGTTATATCAGTCAAACTTAACTTCTCATTTATCAATTATGAACATAAATTGAAATACAAATTGTTCGTCCAAATGTATTATTTTTATCATTATAAGTTAAATAGTATTGATTTATTATTGGTGAGAATGAATGAATTATATTTGTAGTTGTTTGTTTGTTTGTTTGTTTGTTTGTTTGTTTGTTTCATTTTAGTTTTAACGAAGTTGTTGTGTTGTCGTCGTGATCGTTTTAGGAAGAAAGGGAAACACCATCCAACTGGAGTACAGCAATATGCGACCTCTTAGATAGATTGTTAACACTAGCACCAGGTGCTAGGGTCTCGACTTTAAGGGAACTCAAGCAGATTGAAGTGATAAGAAGTTTGGACTTTGATAAAGTGTTGAACAAACAGATAAAGCCACCCTTTGCGCCACCAAAGGATCATCTCAATTGTGATCCTACCTTCGAACTCGAGGAAATGATCATCGAGACTAAACCTTTACATAAAAAGAAAAAACGTTTGACCAAACAAAGGTATAATCATTTATTTTTCAACTCGTTCATTTTTACATCAACAACAAAAGAATTTCTCTGATAAAACATTTCAAGTGTCCTTTGATACTTCAAAGAAGATCTTTGTCATTTTGAAGAACGGTTATGTTCAATTCATAACAAAAAAATATTTGTGATATTTTAAATCTTTGTTATAATGAAAATATTTTGTCTTTATTTCAACAAAAGTAATCTCAAGAAAAATGTGATTCGGGGATAAAATTCTGTTAACTTTTAGATCGATCAGAGCCGAATTGACAGGAGACGATGCTTTGAAATGTGCGGAAGGGAACGGTATGGATCTGAGAAGATTGGCCTTTATCCCAGAATATCGTGTATACAATCGTGAAAGAGAAATTGAGAGATTGGAGAGAGAACGTAAAGAAAAACAATGGGAAGAGGAACTGAACACTGCCATGATGGGTGCCGAACAGACGCCAAGGTATTTGTAAGGTTTCATATTTTAAATCTAAAGTTTTGTAGAAAATCTTTATTACGGTATAATATCATAAAAAGACTTTTTACAATCTGTTTCAATAAAAAAAAAATAAAATAAAATAAAATAAAATAAAAAAACACCGTAAAATTGTTCACGATCTTGACATTTGAAAAGTGCATAAAACACAAAGTGCAAAAGAAAATGATATCAGCAATAAATCTCGTTTATGTTGAAACGTTATATTCTGGTGTGTGTGTGTTTGTATTATCCAATTATAATTCAGATTTAAATATATTTTATTATTTTTCCTAAATGTTTTTCTTAGAAATGATGTAATTTGGTTAAATGAATTAAATGTTTTACAATCATTTAAAAACAACTTGGAATTTGTTATTTGTAGAATGAGACAAGAACAGCAACAACAACAAGGACAGGAAGGACAGAAAAGTGTTAACAGATTGAGTGTTTCGAACGTGAAAGCTCGAATCAGTGCTTCCCCTAGACTTAGTCGAAGGGCAAGTACTGCGACGTCCTCCGACATTGATTACATCGATGCCAGTCCTGAACCATCCACTTCTTAAATTAAATTCAAACACATTTTTCTACCGAAACAAACAAACCCCTAGAATATAAAAGCCAATCGAATGTTTAGAAGATATACATGGATCGTCATTTATAACTGTCGATGATCATTTGACAATTGAAAAACAACAACAACAACAACAGAATCGATTCTACTATAATAATTGATCTTTTTTTTTTTTTGAATCATTACGATCTATCACTTTAACATGTTAAAGTGGATCCTGTTAACAAATTTTATTCACCTTCCGTGCCAATTAATTTTATCAAACGAATTTAACAATAACAGTGTGCAAAACACACTGTGTGCAAAATAAGATTTGATAATTGTTTTTTCTTTTTATTATATTATATTTGATAATTTATTTTTGTTTATTTATTATAAAATGTGTACACAGTATATATATATATATAATAGAAATAATTGTATTAATACGTAAAGTCAATTGAAATGACTGGGTGTTTGTACAATTGATTGGAAAATTATTCAAATTGATGACTTTTTGAATAGAACAAATTTTCCATGACTTTTATTGCAATATCTATAGAATTACATTTATCGATTTGTCTCTCTCTCTCCCCCACCTTTTTCTCCTCCTCTTTCTCCTCCACCTCCTCCACCTCCTTCTACTCTTCTCGTTCAGTTACATATAAGTTACATATATAGTATGTCCGGATATATACCGCAAGCAGTTATTTTGATTGGTTTCCTGGATATATATATATGGGTAGATACATATTAATTGTTAATACTTACAGTATTAATAATAATTACCATAAACTATTGTTTTCTTATCAAGGGTATATGAATTTCATAGTAAATGTGATTTATGTATCAAAAAATAGTTGACGTGGCACGGAACGTGTGTAAAAATTGTATTGTTAGTATATTATATTTTAACATTAAACCATAAACGACCAAATGATTAGTTTAAAAAAAAAAAAAGAAAATAAAAAAAAAAGTAGATCATTTAAAGAAACAGAAAAAGAAAAAACAAAAATTAGTGAGAATGCATGTTACGAAAGATTATGATTAATATTTACTTTTTCTTTTTGTTTTTTTTTCTTCTTATTACTTATCGTTTACAGTTTAATTTTGTTACGTTGTTTAAAAAAAATTCATTAAAAATGACAAACGCGATGTCATTTTCTTTTCTGAATAATTAGAACTTTGATTTTGTTTTTTTTCTTTTTTTTGGGGAAAAAATGAAAAACGTGATCGGTATAAGAAAAATCAAATAACGATGAAAAAATAAATGAAATGAAACGGATATCAAATTGGAAAGAAAAATTTCACCCTACTTTTCATTCTCTCTCTTTCTCTCTCTCTCCCTCTCTCTCTTTCTTTCTTGTTTTTAATAATTTGAATCAGTGGATCGAATGCAGACCACGTTTTGTCGGAGAATCGTCGAGTAATCGATAGCAACGGCGCCAGGTCGACTAAACGAAACAACAAAAAGGATATTTTATTTTCTTCAGAATTTTCTCTTTCCTCTCTTCTCATATTTCAAACATAAATATCAAATTAAATTTCTCTCATTTCTTTTTTTTTTTTTTATAACCGCGATATAAATTATATATATATATATATATTAAAATATTGTATTTTTATGTAACAACCGTTTGTTATTAATTTGTTGATTTGAATGATAACATTTATATAATTGTTATATGATTTTTTTGTCTCTATAAAATTATTGTATTATTTTCTTTTTTCTTTTTTTTTCTTTTTTCTTTTTTCTTTATAAAATAAAATCTAACGGGATCAAATTATTATTAATAAATTTATAATAATTTATTTGTGAAAGTATATATAAAGGCAAATGTGATTATAATAATAATATAAAATAATGATCTTTTTTCTTGAAATATTTATATGCACTTGTAAAATTTATTTCTAGTTTAAAATCACAAAATGCATACATATATATATGTAAGAGAGCCTATTAATATAAAATAGATTCAAGTTTGCCTATCGTTAATAATAATAAAGTTTAAATTATATTTATCACTGTATATACATGCATACGTATGAAATAGGAAAATTTAAGAAACAAGTTATAACGATATAAAGAAACAAACAAACAAAAAAATACCATATTTTCTTTA